TTTTATTAACATTAATGCACATTTTTTCGCTGACATAAAATTACAAGGAATTCTACGTTTTCGAACCAGGTCGATTTAGCTGGTTCTCATAAGAAACCGTACACACAGCTGATTATAAAGTAAACAACAATTTTATTTCCAGCTCTATGGGGCTATGCAAATATGTAAGTTTTTACCATTAAATTAAAACTAACATTTGGTTAGAGTTCATTCCAGTGCGAAATTTTCCACATCTGGTTTTTATCCATTTACACGGGCAATAAATAAGTTCGAAATACTTGCAATATTTATAGAATTTAAGCTCACTCACAAATACGTGAGGGTTGCCCCTCTTTATCTTAGAATTGAAAAGAACATTTTCATTATAAATGAAAAAACACATATTCATTTATTGCGCACCATGGGAATTTGAAGTATGCATGCATATATTTAAATAAATTTATAATTAAAATACGTAAATGTTTGACAAATAGCTGTCTACATTTTATTTGATAAGCGAAAAGCACGGTAGGGTTCAGCTTAAGTGATTAAACATTCTATTTCCAAGGTACCTGGAAATTAAAACGGTCACATGTCTATCACATGATACACATTCATATAAAGCGGGAATAGCATACGATTCCCAATAAGATTTAAGGTATACTAACCCAATAATAACCCCATCATAAAATAAAAAGTTTAATTTATTTTAATCAAAAAAAAAGTTAGATAAAATTTAAAATAAAATCTTTTAAATTAAATAAATATAATATAATTTAAGCTAGCAGAAAGCTTGCTTGATTAGTGCTTAGTTTTCAGAAATATTATCTTGATTTAGTTTTTTGGAAAGTTACTTATTCACTTCCCTTGTGACAAATATCTTAGAAATGTTGTAATCTAAGTTTGAAAAAATCTAAGAAACAAAAAGACAACAGCAATTTAAAAAAAAAATCAAAATGGTAAATAATTGTTTTGTTAGTTCCAAAGATTAGATTAAGTTTTAATGAGAAAGTGAATTCATTTTTATTAGACTGTTACTAAAAAAACCTAATAAAAAAGTGGCGACACTTGGCTCACTACTCAATTATTTTAAATTATTTTATGATCATAATTTTTCCACGATATCAAAAATTTGGACTCAGAAGCCACTTTGAACTCTGGTTATTAAAAACGAAACGCAGTTCGGCGCGAAATGAATATTCGAGCGCGGTGAGCGGTGAAACGGGAGTAAAAGAGAAAGCAAAAAGCTTAAAACGCTGACGTTGATGTGTGACGTTCGTTGGCGGCGAATCTCGGGGTCACTGTACGGACCAATAAAAGTAACACCGCCGACGAATGTCTAACGCTTCGCACCGCCGGTTATCAGTGGGCCAGAAGGCGCAAGTGGGCGCAAAAGTAGCAAACAGCGGCGGACGGGCAAACAAACAAACAAGGCGAAGACACAGTTCTAAAAGGCCACTGACAACAATTTTTTGAAATTCATTGTACGACAAAGACAGGTGATTGAGGGAGCTGGATACAAAGGTGTGTGTGTGGAAGTAGGAGAGCGAGAGCTTCACGCGGAAGCTGCCGCAATTAAAATCAGAGCTTTGGCAACGAGCATGTGATCGAAAATTTAGAGTGATACAAAAAACATTGGACTTGAAACGATATAGATAAAATTGAGAGATAGATAGTATTGTATAGCTGTCAAGGTCTTATATGGATTTAAACAAATTTAAAATTTTTTGTAGTTTGGCATCCACTACACAAAATATATAAGACTACGGTATACTCGCTCTCAAAGTCTTACATGGATTTAAAAAAAATTTATAAATTCCATATATATCCATATCCGCAAGAAATACTACATACATTTATGTACAAAACGAATATTTTTTATCTTTATTTTGTGGGAAATAGTGCTTAGACTGTAAGTAAGTTGTTCTACTTATTCCTCATGGGTTACTACATAACTGATATAAACTAATTCTTAAATACAAAACCATATTTTTAATTAACCCCAGAAGATCTTACTTCTTTCAAATTCCCTTCCTCTAATTCTTGATTAGTTAATCAATTATCTCTAATTAATATTTTACTGTAATGAAATTGGAAAGCTAAACCGAAATACTAATGGTATTATTCTGAATTGAACCGGAACTTTTGCACAACATAAAAATGATATAAAAACTTATGCTTCATGCTTATCTTTATGGAACCGTGATGAAACGAAAGTATAGAAGGTTCCACTGTAAGTGATTAAGTAAACACTCTCGCAATCTTGAGCAAACATTCGCTCGCGAGCGAGGGAGACGGGTAGACAGGCGGAGGGAGATGGGGCGGCGCGGCACAGTGGGACAGGCCAAGGCCGAGGCGCCAAGAAAGGCGAACAAGGAGCAAAGGAGCCAAAAAGGAACCAGACAAACAGGCATGCGTGCCACTGTGCCTGAACTTGTTCAAGGTCAGTCCTCAGCGACAGCGCATGCTAAAAAAAAGTGAAGAAAACTCTTGTTGTTGTTGGAAAAAAGCAAAAAAAAAAAATAAAATAAAGAAGAGCAACCACAACAAATCCGCTGGCCAAGTTAAAGGCGACCAAAAGAGCGAACGAAAAGATAGCACACACATATGGAAAGAGCGAGCGAGAGAGCAAGTGGCCGCCCCCGCAGCAGCAACAACAATGGGTTTTTGTGTTCAATGGGATGCTGATAAGAACAAGAAGCAAGAAAAGACGAAAGCCCTCCAAAAGATAATAAAAAACCCAAGGGCTGTCTTAATTAATATCTTAAATTTTATGCATTTTATGTTTTCATATTTTCATATTCACCTTCTGGTTGTTTTCCTCGCTGTCTCCTCATTTGCCTCCCATTCTGGTATCCTTCCAAGAGCGAGAGAGAGAAAGAGAGCGGGAGTGGGAGAAAGCAACTTGGGTGCGTTTTTTAATTAATTTCCGTAAGAAACACACACGCACTCACACACACCCATCTTTTTTAGGTAACAGTTAAAAAACAAAGTTAGGTGCGAAAGAGACAGCAGAGAGATGGGGAGTGCTAATTTAACACACACGCGCACACACTAGCGAATTTTGTAAATATATTTTTGGCATCAATTTGTTGTTGGTTGGCAGCTGGAATATAAATTTATTTAACACAATTTTCAGGCAAACACACAGGCACACCAATACACACGCGCGAGGAATGCAAAAGGAGAGGAAGAAGAAGAAGCAGGCTCGGCTCTGAAGGATGCTGTGCCTGGATTTCCTTTTTTTTCGCTGCTCTTATTAGGCGTAAAATGCTCTTTTATTCACTTCAAAATTTGTTCATTTGTTGTTGTTTGGCTACTATTGTTTATGCGTTTTGTTTCTCTTGAAGAATAAATAAAAAAAACCTAAGTACCGCCGCCACTCGTAGATAATTTTACCGCGCGGCTATAATTTATTGAGTATCATGTCATAACTCAAATCGTTTTGGAAATCGAAAGCCAGTAATATTACTTCACGATTTCGATTTTGTAACCGGCGATAAGTCAGCGTCGACTGTGCTTCTTTTTAGATATATTCTTTTTATATTTTTAAGTCGGGAAAAACACAAGCAGCGCGTTTCAAAGGGTGCTAAAATGTGAGCGTTTATACTTCACCATCACCAGTCTTGTTGTTTGAATTGTCTCTCGTGCTGTTATCGCTACGCTCTCCCGCTGTTAATGCGGCTAAACTCACTGTTAAATTTTTCAGAGGCTTAGGAGTGTTTTTAAAGGGGTGTGAACAACATTCATTCATTTAAAGTTTTAATTATTTGAAACTATATTTTATTATCATTTTGTATCATCATTTATCATTTTTAATATTTAATATTGTTATTTTTATATCGTTAATTTTTTTTTAAGTTTATAAAATAATTATTACAGATAACAATTTTATTTTTTCTTACTTTTAAATATTAACGTATAACATTTTATTTTTAGAAAATTGAAACTAAATAAAAAGATTGTTCCTAATTTACCCCTACAAAAAGAAGTCGTGTACGCCCCTGGAATGTTAAGTGGGAGAGGGAGAGAGTTCTCTCTTTACCAAGCGCGTGCATAGGGATGGAATTTCAAATATCGAAAGTCAGAAATTTGGGGTGACCATTTCGCCGGAGATCTAAAAATATTAGAAAACATAATTATCGATAGGGGTTTGCTTTATATAAAGTTAAAGAAAATATTAAAGGTGTACTTCTAGTTGTGGCCAATGAGCAAAGATCTTAAAGTTGAATTGTTTTTAATAATCATACGACTCGTTCGCCCGATGAATAATAAAAGGAAGTTCGAAAAAGTTAAAATAATCTTGCTTTCATTTCTGTAATACGTATGGAAAATAATTGACATTTTGATTTTAACCCATTAAATATTGAGATAAAATAGAACAATAAGGGGTTATTAGTTAGAAATTTATTAAAATAATTTATAGAAGAAATTAACTAAACCAAATCGCTTGACAAACTTACAAAATATTGGTATATTTTTTGTGATTAGACACGTTTTTAAAACATCCATCGTTGATCGTTATTGGATTAAAAGTTCCATTGAATATGAATTCTCTGAAGATTTGAAAGCCCTTCAGTGCTATCGATAAACGCGTAAAGTTGCAACTTCCATCTGTAAAGTGCAACAGATAAGGAAAACAAAGAACCATTTGCGAAACATGAGCGAATTAAATGATCAACCAGAATTTTTAGTTCCCACGGTCAGGGAAGTGCAGCAAATGTTTGCGGAACTCCTAAGCCATGGTGAAGATATAACATGGGATCTGTGAGTACACAAATCTCCCATATAATATTTTATAGTTCTGATGTTGAGTCAACAGGTTGTCGGCCAACCAGGAAGATATTCTGAAAAGCAAGCTTAATGAGTTTAAGGGGCACCCTTTAAAGATGTTTGGCCTTCCTAATATGTTTCAAAATATTTGGAGTCAAAGTAAGATGCAGTTTTTTTTCTAATATTTTTTATTAACCTTTTAAAATAGGAAAATTTACAAATGGCCAGTCTCTTACGTCCCTATTTTTTGTGATGATTGTGGATACAGTCAGTGAACCCCAAATGGCCGAGGAAAGTAGATCCTGGTATCTTTATCCAGTCTTCCGTTGTCGTCGATGTGTAGGTAAGTGCATGAATCATACTGTAACTCACACACTAAATAGTTTCAAATATATGTTTTAGAAGATAATTCCGGCCAAAACAACAGCAGTCTGGATTGCTGCATGACGTATGTTTGGCATAATAACTCTATTGAGACTTGGGATAGGTTCATACAACATGCACGTTGGCGACCCGGATTCATAGTGACCCCGAATCGCGGGGTTTACAAACTGATCGATGGAAAGGTAGAGCTACGAACATATTTCGTCAGGGGAGAGATGTGTGGCATAAGTCACTTCATATCACCTAAAAGATTGGTAGAGGGCAAATATACTGCTGCAAAAAATGAAAGTATTTTAGGCACAGATGTTGGACCCTTAGAAACTGTATACCTACGTGATAAGATACTCTATCAGCTTTTGGTATGGTATTATTAACCTTATTTTGATAATCATTTAATTTGAATTTTTTAAATAGATACTTAGTGGTGCCCAAAAAGCCGAAGATGCAACTGAACTTTCCGAATCCTTGCTTTTATTCACCCACAGCGTTAATAATTTCCGTCTGGCATCGTCAATGATCAAGGAGCAATCTTTTCGAAGTATCTTAGGAAACCGACTCAAGTAAAGAATTGTGAATTTTTCAATTCCATTTCTAAATGTTTTGAATTTTTAGGTCAATTTTTCAAAAGATATCTGAGGAAACCAAACGCATTGAGGGAACAGTGGACATCATACGAAGTGTCAACGAAGTCCCCACATCTATTGAATTGAATGAGTTCTTCAAAACCAGGAGACTGCGCAAGCGACCTGTAATAAATGAAGTACACAGTAATGTTCCTGTGGATGTGCTGCAAGTGACAAAGATTCAAGTTGAAGAAGAAGAAGTCAATCTGGAAGATTATGGAAGCGCTGTAATCGAAAACATTGAGAGTCCCGAGAGTTTTGAAGATCTTATCACCAACATGGCTGAGCATTTGGAACCTGAAATGTTTAAGCTCATTCTAGAACTCACTCAAAGTTTTATGGAAAAAACCAGGGAAGATTTGTGGCAGCTGCTCAAGTACCATTTTTCCACGGAAACAGTTCTCTATCAGATAATATTGTGCGTCATGAAACAGCACCCAAACTTGGATTACAATGAAGTTAGGAAGCAATTCTCAGATATTTTAAGTCGTGTGCGATATTATTTTGCTTCGGCTAATCCAAATACTTTTCCGGAACTCCTGCAAAAGTGTCCCAAGTGTGTGGGGTATTACCATATTAAAGTGATGGGAAATAACTAACATGTTTTTAAGCAAAAGCACTTAAAACAATAAAATAATAAAACATAATAATTATTAACATAATAAATCTTTTGTGTAAACTGTATATCAATTACGATCACGAAATGAAACAATTTAACCTGCGGACATAAACCCCCTTTACTTACGCCCCTGGTCTGTTCAAAAATATAACCGGCTGTTGGGGATGGCAACGAAATATCGGTACATACCCAAAAGATTGGGGTGACCATAAAAATAAATAGAATGCATTCTGATGAGAAATTTAAGTTGCCTATTTTAAAGGCATTTTTGGAAAAGAAAGCCGTTGAAATAGTTAAAAAATATATCTTTCTTATAAAATATACTTCTATAAAAATTATTTCTGCTATCGATATTTATGCACCGCATTGCAAATTTCCATCTGCAAGTGGCAACAGATAAGGGATAAACAAAGAAACAACTGCAGAAATGAGCGAATTGAATGATCAACCAACAATTTCAGTTCCCACGGTCAGGGAAGTGCAGCAAATGTTTGCCGAACTTCTAAGCCATGGAGATGACATAACCTGGGATCTGTAAGTATTACTACCAATCCAGGACAAACACTGAGTTTTTACACGGAATCAACAGATTGTCAGCCAATCAGGGAGATATTCTGAGAAAGAAGATTAACGAGTTCAGGGGCCAAAAAGACTCCTTCAATGATATTCATTCAGAGAAGAATGAAGCTTTTTTCGACTCTATTTGGTATTTTAGTAAGTCAATATCTTTTACTTATAATAATTTGCTCGCTGGAAATATAAGTTTCTTCAACAGATAAGTTTTCCAATGGCCATTCGCTCACTTCTCTATTTTTTGTGATGATTGTGGATAATGTGAGCGATGCTAAACTGGCCGAAGAAAGTAGATCCTGGTATCTATATCCAGTCTTCCGTTGTCGGCGTTGCATTGGTAAGTTTAAGAATCATAAAGTAATAATCTTTAAAATAAGCCAATTATATTTTAGAAAATAATTCCGGCCAAAATAAGAGCAGTGTGGATTGCTGTATGGCGTATGTGAATCAGTACGATACCATTGAGGGTTGGGATAACTTCGTGAAAAATACGCGTTTGCGCCCCGGAATCATGGTGACCCCAAATCGTGGTGTCTACAAACTGATCGATGGAAAGGTTGAGCTAAAAACATATACCATACAGGGACGTCTTCGAACCAAGATGTTAGCCCAAGATCGCTGCATATCTCCAGAAAAATTGGAGGAAGGCTCTAGACCACCTAATGAAACTATTGTAGAGGCGGATTACAGCGGTCTCTTTGGCAATTACGCGATGAAATTAGCTGGAAAAATGAGCGATAGGATACTCTATCAGCTGTTGGTATGGCATTCTACTCGTTTTTGTTTTAATAAATGAAATTAATTCATTTATTATTTATTAAATAGGTTTCTCATGGCGGAAAAGGAGCGGCTGACCCAGTAGAACTTTCCAATTCCCTCATTTTGTTTACCCACAGTGTTAATAACTTCCGGTTGGCTTCGTTAATGACTAGAGATCATCATTATCGCAGCCTTTTAAACCATCGACTTAAGTATGATTCTTAACCATTTTTTTTCCATTTTTTCTAATTTAATTATTTATAGGAGCGATTTTGGCTCGATCTCTGAGCAGGCTAATCGATTTGAAGAAAAAGTGGATCTTATACGTGGCGCCAATGAAATGTCAATACTCCAACTGGATATGCTTTTAAAAAACAAATTGGGAAAACTAGATAATTTTGCACTTACTCCTTCAAGTACCTTTCAAGGGAAAATAGTCGAACAGGACGATATTAAATCCGAGTTTAGGGATCTCGCTGAAACCATTGATAACTTTGGAAATATTATGGCAATCATTGGTGACCACTTGGATCCCGAAATAATCAAGGTCATTTTAAAGCTAACTCAAACTTTTGTGGAGACCACGAGGGATGAGTTGTTCCAGTTTTTAAAATACTACATATCCACGGAAACAGTTCTCTATCGGATAATTTTGACCATATTGATGATGGACCCTTCGAACCGGGAACCTGAAAAAGTAAAGGAGCAATCTTCGTCTATATTAGAAACTGTAAAAGCATTCTTTCTCTCGGTTAATCTCAATTCTCCACCTGAACTTTTAAAAAAGTGTACGAAATGCATTGGTTATTACCATATTTCCAAAAATGTATGTACAAGTAAAAAAGAGTTCAAAATGGTTGCAAAATTGTCAACCTGGCAACATATCCTAGATGTTCATTCCAGTGCCAAATAAAATGTAAAATACAATGTAATTTTTTCAAAAGTATTTAGTATCGGGGGGCTGAACCCCCTGTTGCATACGCCACTGAACTTTAAAAAATAAGAGCAAAATGAGAGAGAACAACCGGAATTTACTCGATATTTAGGGTGACCATAAACCACAAATACTGTTATAAAGAAGACAAATCTGATAAGAAAAATTTAAATGGTGGTCTATTTAAAACGATTTTATAAAAAACCGTTGTCATGGATTATAATATCGGCTAAATACTTCAAGTTCCTCAACCACTTTTGACTATCGATAAATGCATTTCGTTGCAACTGCCATCTGCAATGTGCAACAAGGGGTTTGGCGAAAACAACACAACAAAAACAGTTTGCAAAAATGAGTTCATCAAAAGATAAAGACGCCATTTTAGTTCCCACCGTTAGAGAAGTGCAGCAAAAGTTTGCAGAGATCCTAAGCCATGGGGAGGATATAACTTGGGATCTGTAAGTAGTTAAGCAATCCGAAATAGCATAGGTTTAAAATTCTAAAATTTGCAGACTAACGCAAAATCAGGGAGATGTTCTCAAAGAAAAGTTATCTTTGTTTGAAGCCAATTCTAACATGTTTCATTGGATTTGGGATCAAAGTAAGTTTAACATTTAATTTATATTTTATAATTGAGTAAATTACTCATTTTATACTAGGAAAATATACAAATGGACAGTCTCTTACCTCCCTATTTTTTGTGATGGTTGTGAATGATGTGTGCAATACAAAACTGGCTGACCAAAGCAGATCCTGGCGTTTATATCCCGTTTTTCGTTGTCGGCGTTGTGTTGGTAAATATATTAGGGCGCCATAGAATTCAATAAAGTAATATTTAAATCACGAATTTTTTTTCAAGAAAAAACTGGCCAATCCAGTAGCATCGACTGCTGCATGACGTATGTGACACAGAACTCAAAATGTGGAAACTGGAATGAATTTCTGCTTTCACCACGATTTTGCCATGGTGTAATGGTGACCCCGAATCGTGGAGTCTACAAACTGATCGATGGTCAAGTTGAGCTAAAAACGTATTCCATCTCAGATCGTGTACTTGGATATTTGACAGACCCTACTGATTACTCCATATCGCCCGAATCTTTGACAAAAGCCTCAAAAACACCAATTGATCGGGAAAAATACAACCCAGGAAGTGCTTTTGGAGTTACCGTAAAATTGGTTTCAGAATTTAGCGCTTGTGAACGGATGCTCAGTTTGCTTTTGGTAAGGATTTTCTAAGAGATTGTTTTTGAAATATTTCTTTAATATATATCTTTATTATTTAATAAGAATCCTAAAAATGTGCAACAATCTTGTGATGCGATTGATCTTTCCGATTCTTTAATTCTGTTTACGCATAATACTAACAATTTTCGTCTGGCATCAAAAATTATAAAAGAAAAAAATTGTTCAAGCATCTTGGCTAATCAACAAAGGTAAGCATAAAATAATTCAAATAAAATAATTTAAAAACAATAATATATTTTTAGAAGCATTTTTGATAAGATTTCCAAGGAATCCGAACGAATTGAAGGCAAAGTAGATCTTATACGTAGTGCCAATGGAGTACCCACAAAACTTCAGCTTAAGAAAGTTTTACAAACCAATCCGGAAAAGAGAAAACAAAGGAAAGAATCGGATAAGGATCCCAATGCTGTAAAGGAAAACCCCCCAGAAATTACTACAATAAAAGTTAAAGATGAAGATATCAACCTGGAAATCTTTGGCACTGTTCTTAAAGAACACATTGTAAGCTTGGAAAGTTTCGAAATTCTGATAACCAGCATGTCCGAGCATTTGGAACCCGAAATGTTTAAGCTGATTCTGCAGATAACGCAAACTTTTGTGGAACACACCAGAGAGGAAATGTGCCAGCAGCTGAAATACTATTTTTCCACCGAATCCGTTCTTTATCAGATTATTTTGTGTATTAAAAAACATTATCCAAGCTGGAACTTCAATGAAATCGAAGAGCAATCGTCGGATATTTTAAGGCGAGTGCGATATTATTTTGCCTCTTCTGACCCCAATTCTCGAGTTGAATTTCTGAAGAAGTGTGATAAGTGTAGCGGTTACTATGACTTATTTGATAGCAGTAAACCGGACTATTCGAATTTTTTTTAAGTTGTATTTTTTTAAAAACATTTAAAGTCATTATTATTCCCTAAGAAACTCTTTGAAAAAAATTGTTAAATATTTTAAAACTTGTTTCCAATATATCCTAATGTTCGGCATTCAATTAAAATTATTATCCTTACATATGATCTTCTTTTATACCGATGCAGATATGAACTGTGTAACATAACTGTATGATATACCTATTAATTGTAAAAATCGAATAATCTAAAAGTTGATTCTTTCAAACCATTAACCAAATTAGTACAAACGTGAAAATTAAAATTCCGATACGTAAGTGTTGTCAACAAATCTATATTCTATATGCTGGGAGCGTGATAATATGTTTAACTACATACAATACGTATATTAGAGATAATCTAGGGCTAGCGGGTTAACTTATTTAGAATGGTTTCCACCGATTTACAGGATATTTAGATAAGTATATGTGACATTGACTAAGACAAAACTAAGCCTAGTGATTCGATTAGGATGAGTAAGTTGTACATGAAAGCGATCACAATTGATAGATGGAGGCGTGTGCGGTGACCTTATCGATCTACGACTTAGGGCTAGCATCTTTAGGCATTTTTCGGCTTGCTCTGCCGTCGATTAAGCAAACTGGAAAGATTGCTAAAGGGCAGCTCGAAGGCCAAAGAAAACAGGATGGAGGCCAGGTAAACGATGACAGCAAAGCCGCAGGTGACCACGCACTGGAATTAAATAAAATTTTAATAAAAATTACAAATGCAAATCATAAAGTGTCTAAAAGTATGCTACAAAAAATAATCTAGTCCAAAAATACAAAGCATAAATACAAAAATATAATTTTCTATTTTTTATAGCATACTTTTAGACTCCCTTTTATAATGATTTCAAAACTTTTGAGATATTCGCAATACTCACCAGCATAAAGGGATCTGCATGAGTGCTGGCGTTGGTTAAACTGTAGAATAATGCAATGATCAGCGGATTGAGCAGGTAAATGGCGTAGGACAGTCGACTGACATGTTGGAAACCCTTGGCCTCCAGCAGCCGTGACCACCACACCCCCCGCCCACCGCAGCTGCGCGCTATCATCCAGCATACACTGAGCGAAAAGAATAGGCGACCCATCACAAACAGCGTGATGGCCATCAGAGGACCCAGATCCCTTTTAACAGTCGAGTAGATGCAGGCGAAGAAGACCAAGAGAGAAAAGTGCCAGCAGAAGCGTTCCTTGGGTTCACTCAACTCCAACTGAAGGCGATTCTCCTGCAGTAACCAAGCCGTCGCAGCTCCTAGGATATAAGGAAGGACTCTCACGAAGGGTGAAGTGTAGATCTCTGTTCCAGTGGCAAAGGCAGCATCGAATGATAACTGGAACTTGATGCTCAACCCAATGCTATAGGACCAGGCAATGGTGGCCACAAACGAAGAGACCACCAGGGCTTTGACTGCCTTGGGATATCTGTTCATCAGGGAATATTAAATAAATATTAAATATATATTTTATTTTTTCACTACTTACTTCACATAGGCAAACAGCAGTGCGTTGGCCAAGATAAAGAACTGCATTTCGCAGGCCAATGACCAACTCCAGTTGGCGCACATATCCCGATGGTCAAAGAAGTTCTGAATAAACAGAAGATTTCGCCACCAGTAACTTGAGCACATCTCATCGAATCGCTCATTGATGTGATAAACCGAGACATCTCCAATATAGGCATAGACCAAATCCACGGTGGCCATAACCACCAGGTAAAGTGGACCAAGACGCAGATAACGATGGAAGAGCAATTTGCCAAAGAGTTTGACATTTTCACTGAGACTATTCCGACGAACTGCCTCCAGCTGCCGTGAGTTCCGCAAGAAGTTAAACGTTTGCAGGAAGCCACTGAAAAAATTACATATTACATTAGAAAAAGTTTAGAATGTTCCTAAGTCTATAAAAAATATTCTCCATTTTTTCTTAGTTAAATTAAATTATTTAATTAATTTTTACTATAAAAAATTGGATAAATTGCTAAATATAATTCATTTATCTTTTAGCATTCTTTCAAAATCAAAGTAAATTTTTTCTTCAAGTATAAATACCCACCTTATGGTAAAGAAGACGTCCACCAGCAGAGGAGCCGAGGAGACGTATTGGAAAAAGGCCTGTTCTGCATACGAAATCAGCACCGTCTTGTTGTGGACCGTGAAGTACATGAACCACACCACGTGGAACACCATGATCCAGATGGCGCAAACCGAACGCAGGCCATTCATCAGGGGAATTTCATTCGGAGAATTTTCCCTTACAGCAAAGATCTTGGTCCAGTTAGCGGGGACATCCCAGCAGGGTATATATTTCTGTAGCCTCTCGATTTGCAGAAGTGAGTTGAGTCCTCGCCAAAGTTCCGATTCCGCAGGTGCCAGTCCGGGTTCCTCAGGTTCTTCAGAGGAAGATGCCAACTTTTTGGTGGCCCCCAGTTGTTGGGCGCAAAGCATCAGGGCTCCAGTGATCAAAACACAGGCCACCAAAAGTCGGAAGCTAGCACGCTCGAAGAATTCCTCCTTCAACTGCAGATTCTTCATATAAACCACTTCCGGTCGAATGTCGAATATCTCGTTTTCGGTGAACATCCCACCAGCTACGTAATCCTGGGCTAGATGCTTAACTTCCTCCGAACTGCAGGCACTTGGAAGGCACAAACCAATGTGGATAATTTGCTCAGACATTAGTTTGATCTCCACTTGCCAGGGAGAACTGTGTCGCAGATAGAGAACCCTATAATCCATATCAAAGGGCGCTTGCTGGGTGATAATTCCATAGTGCATCACTCGATCGAAGTTTTTCGACAGGGTTATGCCCACGGGTCTTTGGACTCCGCGACAGGCTTCCCGACTTCCCAGCCAATAATTCTGGCCATAAACAAAGCCAGAGGGTTTTGTGCCCGATGCATCCAAAACTGTGGGAAAATGAAATGGAATTCCAAGGGATTACCATAATGGGGAAAAATGATGTATATAACCAATTAGCAATGTTATAAAGTTCTGTGTTCAAGAGTTCAATCTGCAATACAATAATTAGCGTAAGCAGTCGCTATTGATTTACCAGTTTTTCACTTAATCTTAGGTTCTTTGTTATTTAAATTTGAAGAGTACTTCGATGTACAGACTTCAAAAAATATTTCCATACTTTATTCTACAAAACATTTCTAGTGAATCATTGCCTTATCCTAAGGGGTTATATGAGGTGTGTATTTTACGGTTCACTTCTAGTCATGAACTTCTAAAGGTGCGAATTTCAATAGAAAACTGTTGATTTTGTGAATCACATGTATTTATCATTCCTTGTCACTTAAAAATAATTTTCGTTCGTGTTTATGTAAAAGGTATGTCAAGATTAAGTTGTCTATCTCTTATATGATTTCAACATATTTGGGTTATGATTGTTGATTAGCACAGACTTTAACAAATATGCTATGAGAAAGCACGTAAGTTTGTAGATCAGTAAGTAAATATTACAAAATAAATATGGGTGCAAATAATTTGTATTTAATGATTGCTGAAGGTGTAGTTTTTGAGTAAGTGTTGCCTTAAGATTTTCATTATAAAAGCTTTCTGTCATTAAATTAAATAAAAAACCCAAATGATTATTATAAAACATATTTAATTGCTTGATTTAAGTTTAAAAGATCAAAATTAAATATGAAACTTTGGATTTACTACTTTTTATACCCGTTACTCGTAGAGTAAAAGGGTATACTAGATTCGTGCAAAAGTATGTAACAGCTAGAAGGAAGCGTTTCCGACCCCATAAAGTATATATATTCTTGATCAGGGTCACTAGCCGAGTCGATCTAGCCATGTCCGTCTGTCCGTCTGTCCGTCTGTCCGTCTGTCCGTCTGTCTGTCTGTATGAACGCTGAGATCTCAGAAACTACAAAAGCTAGAAGGTTGAGATTTCCCACACATATTCTTTGGCTCCCTACGCAGCGCAAGTTTATTTTAGCCGAGCGCCACGCCCCCTCTAACGCCCACAATCGCCCACTAATGATTTTAAAATGGGTCCTGCGCCCACATCTTTAAAGATTTCCGAGAAGTATAAATGCAATTTTGTTGTGTATATTTATACCTATCGAAATGTAGAAGACATTTTTCAAATCGGACCATTCATTAAAAAAGTTATACGCTTTATCAATTGTCAACATATATCTATCTCCCTCGCACTCCCTTTAGCTGAGTTACGATTATTAGTCGGGACACCAACCCGACACAGCGTTCGCACTCCCTTTAGCTGAGTGACGGGTATTAGATAGTCGGGACACGAACCCGACTATAGCGTTCTCTCTTGTTGTTTATCAATTTTAGTTATTTTAATTTTAAAACTCTAGACGAAAAATTACTGTCTCAAAGCTCAAAATTATTTGTACTTCCCTGAAGGCTTTTTCTATACATTTTTCAAGCAGCCTAACAATTGTGTCTATAATTTCGGGTTTCCTTGGCCATTAAATTGAATAATATTTTTTTCGGCTTATTTTATCGACTACTCACCCTTCATGGCCCATGGCTGTTTGCCGAGTATGCCGCGCTGCATTTGTCGCAGCTGCGCATGGCACTTTTGGCTGACGCTGCTCTCGTTGGCCACTTTGGTGAGTCCGAAAATCACTGAGGTGCGCGTCAAATGGGTTTCATGCGGCGAATTGTGAGCCACAATGTCCGGAGTGCTGTCCAAAATCTCCAATTCCTCGGTCGCCAATAGCGATTCATTGATCGACTGACTTTGATATCGCTGCCAGGTTTTTGAGGAGATCTCTGACTGATTGCCCTTGGCCAAAACCGAACCTAGCCAGAGGCCGAGCAGCATCAGCGTCAGCAAGACCCAAAGATATGGTCGAGAGGTGCGGCGCCTGATCTCCATTCTGTGGCGGTACTTAGTCACCTTGGCTTATATTTATACTTATTTGTTGTTAGTATTGTTCGAGATATTTGGACCGCACTCGGTGTTTGGCTATCTCAAATGGCTTGTTTGATTGCTGTTTGTTAGCTGCCTCCGTTTGCCGAAGGTCACCGCACTACGATTCGACTACGCCTCTCCTCTCCACTCCTCCCGGATCCCGAAACCTGTGGTATATGTATATTGGTTAATATCGGCTTGCCAATTGATGGGGAGAAACTTTCGTCGGCCATTCGGTTGGTGGCCAATAAGCACGTTTTTTCAAACGCATTGTAGTAGTGATTTCCCACTGACACACTTTGAAGACTAAAAACCCCTTTGGTTTTGCCGATTGCATTAGAATATTACGCATACGCAGTGTGTTTAATGGCTGCCGGCTAAAAAAGCTACGTTCGTTTGCCGAGGAAACCCAGAAAATGAGAGCGCGTTTTTGTGCAATAATTAACATATAACGTCTTTATTTCATTATTATGAATGAATTGCAGCTTTTCTTTGGCTATTAGTAAGTCCGAAAAAAAAGATTTTGCAATGCAAAATATAGCACCAAATTGGGTCAGCTTTTAATTATATTTTATGTATAATTTTTTTGAATTGCGATTTATAAATATTTAAATTAGTTATTTATATTTTATCCGTGTTTTTAAATTATGATTTGCTAAGAAATATTTAATAACAATAAACCTTTAAAAGATGATTCGCGAAATTCCTATTAAATACTATTTTTTTTTGTGTAAAAAAGTAAACAAACTAAAGCAAACGCACAACACACGCACATTGACTTCGTTAGAATATTACGCATACGCCATGTAAGCCCAATTACCGGTTAAACAGTCGGCGAAAGAGGAAAAGAAAGACTCTTATGTAATAATTAACATTTAACATGGGCGTTAATAATTTTGCGTTTTATTTTGATTGTATTGGATCTCTGGCACCACAAAACAAACGGCACGGGGAGTAAAAGTTTTTGAAACGCAGCGAAAAAAGATAAACAAAATCCGAAAAAATACGATACGAGACGAGACTCAACCCAATTCCGCTGGGAGTGCGACTCAAATGGAGACTAAGGTTCAATTGATTGCCTTCGTTGCCCGGCGACGATTTTGAGTATCGTTTTGAGTTTCGATTTGAGTTGTTATTTCTTGAGTTTGGAGTGAAGTCTGCGCAGGTGCAAAGGCAGCGCGGCGTTACTTCCATTGATTTTGAACCCAAAAACTCAAAACTCAAATTGGACGCCACTGCTGACCACACACAATCGACAAATTGTTGTTGCTGGCCTTTCGTTTTTATCGTTTTTTTTTTGTTTTCTTCGCTTTGACACACTCACACACAATCGCGCCGCACTCATACGTAATAATTTGCGGGTTATTGTTTATTATGACTAAAGGTGCGCGTAATCAAAACTAACTGACAAAATCATGCGGTTAAAGAATTATGCGGGCAAAGAAACCAATTGAGTAGATCGTAGTTATGAAAGAAATTGTAACTAGGAAAGGAAACCCAGTAGCTAGATTTAGAAAATATAATCAGGAGAAATGAATGTTTGTACTTAAAGTGATAATTCTGATTTAAAACCTTTTAAACATAAATAAATTAAAATCTCTTTTCAAAGACAAGTAGTTGAGTAACAGAAAATTTTAAAATCAATTTAGAAATATTTATGCATGCTTTCGATTGATATAAAACACCCATTTCATAAGCAACAAAGAAAATCTTTTGAAAATGTGCATATTAAAATACACTGATAAATATTTTGGTTTAGGAAAAATATTTAAATATGTTTAGCAGAAAAAATTTAATGAATTTCTTAATGAAGTGGTCAAGCTTAAAAAAATTAAACCTATTAAGGGTAATAACATTATTTTCTGTGATTTATAACCTTTTCACTTTTGCAATCAAAGTTAATTAAGAACATTGACATCTCATTATGGACCACTACTTTTTTCTCGCTGTGCATGGTTAACGCTTTTTGCTCGTTTTCTCGCTTTCCTAAGCGATCTTTTTGTTGGTTTTGCATAATTTACACGCCGCTTCTTTTGTGGCAAGCGCAACGCGAGACGCCCAACGAGATAAATATGTGTATGTTTAAATATATATTTATGCATATGGACTTTGCCTATTGGGGAATTTCGAAATATGTTTGATCTGCATTTACATAACACTCCTGAACTCGCGGAATTTGTTATATGTTATAGTATAGCAGAGTAGAGAGAGTGAGGGATCCACACTAATGGCCTGCTTATTGGACACTGTTTGTGGGGGACTTCTGTTGATCAGAACCCAATTAACAAGTGCTGTTTGCACAGAGCACAGAACTCTCTGCCACTCAACTTACTTTTGGTTATTTATTGTGCTTAGCTGATTTTTTCGAAACTCGTTGAGCGCTTTTATTTTCACTTTTTCCTACATTCCGGCGGCAGTTAAGATTACTTTTATTGAGACATTACCGAGATGAGATCCGCGTGTCTCCGATTTTGCTGAGGAATGGAATGGAATGGAGACTTAAACTTGGACCGACTTTCGTTTTCGTTTCTTTCGCTGTCTGATAAAACGCACTGCACAACAGATTAGCTGGCTTTATATATATTGCCCACTCTTTCTTCTTGGCCTCTTGCCTCTCTTTTTGTTCCTCACTTGGTTTATTTTTTTCTTTGGCCCTGCAACTGGTTGGGTTATTTCTGCTTCTGTTGACGTTAACCGAATTTCGTTTTCATTTTCGCTTAAATTTTTGTGATGAGGGCCACGACGCGTGCAACGTTTTGGTAACAACTGTGCGCCGCTGCATTTTGGCTCAAAGTTTTATAAACTTGGTCGCTGGTCAAAACTGAGTGGTTTGCGCCGTCGGCAGCGCAGCAGCCGAGAGATAAATCAACAATTGGAATTTCAGTCTCAAGATCAACAAAAGACGACCGACTCCCTTACGCGCCCGAGTCCGAGTTTTTAGTTTTTTGGTTTTCAGTTTTCAGTCCGGATTTGTCAGTGGTCAGTAGTCGTTATTTTTTGCTGCGACTTCGGCTTTTCGCTCGTCAATTGCACGCACATTAAAATCTCTCTCTCTCTCTTTTTATGCCTCTTTCTCCATCTCTTTCTCGGGCGGTCCAGACCCTTCAATCATCCGACAAGCTTCAATCCAACGACGCTCTTTGAGTGATTTTAAAAAGGCTATTGTTTTATTGGATTTTTTTAGATTTATTATCAATAAAATATTTATGGTAGATATTTAATAAATTATCACCTAAATTATTACATTTTATTTCTCTTAATATTGTATACTAAAAAATGTACATTTATTTCCATTTTTTAAATTTAACGGAGTATTTGCTTATTAATTACATTTAACTTGTATCAATATTATGTATCAGAAAGATTTACATTTATTACCATCAATAAAAACCCATAACAATTTCTGTAAGTGTAGACATAAAAGTGCTTTAATTAATTATATAAATACAGGATCTGTAGGTTAACCGGCATCTTTAAAAATACATTTTAATTGAATTTATTTACTTATTTTGATCCCAGAGGCCAACAGGTTTCTGCAAATGTAACGAAAAATGTAAAAGAGAATGTTTTTGGTTGTGATTGGGGGCAATATCAAGTTTCGATGAAATAAATTGAAGAAGAGTAACCAATTAATGAGATAATTTGTCAGATAATATGTTTTCAGACAATTTATTCGAATTATAGAAAAAGGGAAACATTAGTTTTCTTCTTTGATATTTCTGTACAAAAAGGTTTAGCCAATTGCCTTGGGAATTTACTTTTTTTTTTATTTTTTATTCCCGTAAAATATTTGCCATTTTAAACCTTTATAGCATTGATTGGCTTAAAAAAGTAGCGGGAAATAAATATGTTTGTTATGAAATAATAATAAAATAGAGAGTTTAAAAAAAATATTAATAAATATACAAAAAAAATAAAATTAAATTGCCTCTAACGAATAAATGTACAATTTCAATTTCCAACAGTCAAATATTGAAGATTGCTTACTAAAAAATCCTCCAGAGGTCTCTACAGCGAAAAGCACACCTAGCACCTGTCTCGCTCACCTGCGAAAGCTCGGCCTTCGCTTTAAGCTCCGCTCGGAGCTTCGCTCATCGAAACGCGCACCTTTGCTCAGTTGATTCGCGCAGCTTGAGGCCAACAGTTCGAATACGCGATACGCGCGCATGCGATTTACCGCCCAACCGCCCACCACCCCCCGCCTCCAACGAGAGTGCGAGCGAGAGGCAGATAGAGAAAACTACTCCACGCTGCTTGCCAAACTAACAAAAAATTCGTAGTGGGTGCTGAAACGAAACCGAAAATCGACAAAAAATTTATAACGCACGAAATCCGTGAAAATACGAGTATTTAACAAAAATAAATAATTAAAGCTGTGCGTCTGTGTGTTCTGTTTCTTGGTATTATATTGTGCGTGTGTTAAAAGAATACTAAAAAGTCGACAAGTGCAGAATGAAAATCATAAACAAAAAAACAACAACAAGACGGGCAACAAGTTTTTTTGCGTAGAATCCAACGACGGGCGAAATTCCAAGTAAATAAGCCAACCTGCCAAGTGTTGTTTTTATTTTTTTCAAAAAGCGCGAATATTGTTGCAACTCGTTTCGGTTGTTGTTTTCACAATTGTTGTTGCTGTTGTCAAAGCCACACAAAGCGGGTCAAATGCATAAATAAATGAATGAAGCGAAATGAAACGAGCCGAGAAATAAATGCAAAATATGTTGTTATTATCATTTGGCCTGAAGCGAAATTAATTACAGCGTGCATTGTCATTGTTGAAATTTTTTAATACAAAATATCCATATCTCAATCAGTGAAGTTTATGTAAAAAAAAGTTCGCTGGTATCTTCTTCGAAACTATTGCCATCCCGCTCCGACCAAAAAAAAAGCTCTATAAACAAATGAGTCTAACTGCTAGATGCGTTTGCACCTGAGCACCTGCGGATCGCCTCCACCAATGGCAGCTAAAGTGAGTTCAAACCTTATAGACCCCCAAAAAATAACCAAAAAAATTCCCATTAAGTCAATACCTTTAAAAACTGACCATCTGCATGGTGCAAACTATCTTACCAATTCGGTTCTCACGACACAAAATCATAGTACAAACACTGCACACCGACACCTTTGAACTTTAAAAGCGGGAGAGTGCAAAATCAGCCAGGCAGCGTGTAACGGTGCCACAGCCGAAACTAAAGCCAAAAGCAAACAGACATCAATGAGCAATTCGAAAAAACATAACAAAACTTCATCAGCCAAAAAAAAAAAACCCAAAAAAAGGAAAACACCAACAAAAACAGACCAAAATCGGGCCCACAAAAAAGGTTCCGAGCTGAAAAAAAAACAACTGTTACAGCACCAGCACTGCACTCGATGGAACTGTGGGATGGAAAGCTTATAAAAGGCTCTCAGAATTTCGTAGAATTAAACGGTATAATGGGAAAATATTAGTCAAGGTTCAGGGGATTTAAATGATTTTTAAGAACTTGAGTGGAAAAGAAACGATTAATATTTTAGGGAACATTCTAGAGGTTCCAGAACACCTAACCTATTTTTAATAGCATTATTTTATAAAAATTATTTTTCATCCAAAAGTTATTATTATTATAACACTTTAAATGCCTTTCCTTATACCTTTCCGTTTGTCTCTTCTTTAAAATATTTCCTGTGTAAAAATAAAGAACTAGCCATGTTTTCGTAAAGATAACTTAATGACTTAGGGCCGGTTTCTCGAGTGCCGGCTAACATTTCTCGAACAGATAAAGTCCCTGCTAAGGCATTTTGGCTTTCTCGAGCATAAATGTGAGAGCTAACTTTGACAGGGACTCGGAGTCCCTGCTAAGCGTTTTCGACTCGATAGAATGACAGCTGATTTCCCGAAGCCAACTATGAAGATGAAACGAAATCACAGCTGACTTTTCCTTTAAATTATACCCAAACAGCTGATGAAATAATCGAAGCACGCCATTTTTTACCCTTCACAGCACAATTCTGTGCGTTAACAGCACTCTGTAATTGTTTCTCGTTCAGATAAATTAAAGCAGTCGAGAAAGCCAATTTGCTTTTACGAACAGTTTATCTGGTATTTAAGTTTTTCGAACAGATAGCTATCAGGGACTTTGACAGGGACTCGAGAAACCGGCCCTTAATGACCAAGATAAAAAACCCATTTAAAATGTAGAATTTGTTCACTTAAGGGCAGCTACGCAGTTGAAAGGGTTTCCAAGATAGACTTCATAACTCTTTTTATTTTTTTTATTTATGTGTATTATTTATTTAATACTATCTTAGGAACAATAACTTAGTTTGATTTATTTAAAAGAACGTTCTAAGCCTATGTTAACAAAGAAGTAATAAACAATAGAAGAAGTTATGACCGGCAGCCAAGGCCTTTGGATAATTTCCATTTAAATTTATTTATCTGACTCTGTGAAGCCCCATGGGATTTTCAGACCAATAAATATACATACATCACCCACTGTATGGCGACTGCATTTAGTGGCCATGTCTCTAACTGTAATGGACATGGACAGTCGCGAACCATGGAGCACTTGTCGCAGAACAGGTTTAATCTCGTATTTTGCGTCTGGTTCTGTTTTGTTTTTTTACTATATCCAATATATGTATTTATTAATGGCCCATGCATTTTTCCATATATTTTCCTGCTGACCTCCGACGATCTGCAGGGGCAAAACGGAATCACCTTGCCGTTCTAATTTGCCAACTGCCACCGCGAGTTGCAGTAATAATTGGAGCGTGGCTAATGTGGGGATTAAGAAAGGCCAGAGGTCGAGAGCTCATTAGCTCTGGGAGTTGGCCTACAGGCCATGCCCCTTTTTTCCATATATACCCATAAGTAAATGTCCCCCAAGGGAGTCTACAAACTAGAACTTTGCATTGTCGTCAGCTTGTTTAACATTTAAAAATAAACTTATCATAAATCGTGTAAACACAAATAGCGAATTCAAAACTGTGTGAACATTTAGCTCGAGACTCGAGTGCAAATTGAAAAGTTGTTTGTCCGGCCGCCGCAGAAGTTGACCATAACCATAACCATAATACGGTGGCAATTCGAAGCGGATGGTAAAAAGAGACGCCACCGATGATCAGTTTGTCTGTCTGCCAACCGGTAAATTATTTATCGAGCGGTACGCGGTGAGCGGTATGGGGATTCAAAGCGGATCGAAACCCAGCAGTTGGTAACCGGACGCTGCACCGGAGCATCGCATCGCATCGCCGGGCTAATTGCATTGGAAATGGATGCTAACGGAGCCGTTAATGTGCCGCCAATGGAGCATTAACGCTGCTAGTTAGTCGCCACTTGTGGGTCTTCGTCTTATGCAACCGAGCTGCTGGAGTGATTTTTTTTTCTGATTTTTCTGTTTGCTGCTAATGCCGGCGGAGCTTTTCGGTGACTCAGTGTAAGGTATGCGATATGGTAGCTATTCAGGGAAATAGATTTCTTTACCTAGATCCAGGTAAAGTAATCACTCCTACTTCAGGCTTTGAAGAAATTGAATATTTTTTCGACGCTAAACGGAATTTAGTTTTTAATATATCATAATAATATTTTTTTAAGGAATATTTAAAAAAATGTATAATTACTGCTTTTGGTTAAGATTATCTAGATTAGTAATAACATAATACACCTAAATTTCATAACTGATTTTTTGTTCATGAATTAATTGCATTTTTTTTGTAAGAACTTTAATTTTTTGATTTATTATACGTTTAAACAACTATTTTTTCAAAAGTAAAAATGTATTAGTTTTTTATTTCATTTTTTTGTAATTTTGGGCATTGCTTTAAAAATAAAAATGCATTTTAAATTTAATTTATCTCATTTTATCCCAAAATATTCCTCATTCCGAGTGTTTACTGTTTGAGTTAAGGTTTATTTCCAGACTGGGTCTTTTCTGGGGAGCGGTTCGTGTACTTTGCTCTAATTAGTAAATGCAGGGCTCGCCGTCTGTAACTGTAAACAGTTTTATGGGCGTTTTGCATTAAGTACTTCGGGTACTTTAGCAAACTGCGCACCTCACAGACTCCCACTCGATGACTCATGGGCGCGTCTAGAAATTCCATGCAAAATCGGTCACTGTAGAAAAGCGATCAGTTCCCCTCCATCGCGATCTCCATTGCCACATTGCCACCTCTATTGAGTTAACTCCAAACCGCCCACGCGTCTTTAAAGGCGGCACCTTAAAAGTGCACAATATAAGGTAGATAGAGTATAGAGTCAAATGAAAGCCTTGAGCTTGACAAAAGAACGAGCAAATTGCAATTTAAGAGGGGGGTAGATTTTACTTTAATTGGGAAGTGCAGCGAAACACACCCTGTTTCACTTGATCCCACTTTAAATGAGGTGGTTTTTGGATGTGATGGGCATGAAATGTTTTTGATTAATGAATTACTTACTGCTTTAGAATTTCTTATAATATTTTTTCTTAAAATATTTTTTTTTGTGATTTGAAAAAGTTGCATTTATATCATCTTTGATTTGTTTGAAATTTTTTTTTTTTCCTTTACATAGTTAAACATAGTTTCTGTCACTTGGGGAAATTGTAATTCAAAGTTTAATTAATCCGAAAATACTTATTTTATATCATAGTTAATCTTAGATTTCTTTGATATTTATTTTTGTTTCTTTTATAAAGCTTTACCAATGTTAAACTATTTGAAATATTTTTTGTAATTCTCCTTGTGTAAATTTTAAATTTGCTGTTGCGAATATATAGTTACCCTGCCGATTTTCAATAAATACTGCCTCACCGTTAAAGCGGTTAGTGTGCCAAAAGGCAGATTATCTAACCGGAGCAGCAATTGTCTCAATAGCAGCGTTTTCAACTGATCACACACACTTTCCATCAAACATCAGCAGCTGCCACTTGCGCTTTCCTTTAGCCTTTGCATAACCACACACGCAAATCTCCCATCGCTATGACTACTATTCCCCATCCAAAGTTAAATCCCCTTATATCCCCGGACACACTCCATATTGCCTGACCGCAAACTGCAAATTTGCCTTAATGACTGCGTCGGCACGTTAACTGTCATTTTCAATCAAATCAACCCATTCCCCTCTCCATATAGAGGTACATGTATCCCCCAACCTAACGCGATTTTAAGTGCAGCCCATTAATTTTCAGCGCTTTTTAAAAGTCTTGCACAAACGGAGATGCGGATTGAATGTTACCAATCATCCAAATGTGCACCCTGCGGGGGAAATATATAAAAGACTTCAATAAAATGGGATGCCAAGTGGGAGGCCACTTCTTGAAGTTTACCGAAAGTATTAGCTAATCTTATGCCATGAAGAGATATAAAAAAATACCCCAAAATAGCTGGCAAATATTTGCGCACTTTGGCGTTCATAAGAGGAATTTCTAGATTCTGCCTGGTTCCGAGAACCAAACGTGTAAAAATCCGCCTGGTACAATATATGATTATAGTGTTGGGCCAAAAACAATGGGGCATTCTTACGTACGTGAGTTCGCAGAGCCATAAGTATATTACTGGGTTCAGGGTTAATTATTCTATTGCACGCTCAAAATCAGCCTGAAACTGAAACTCGGATTGAAACTCGGAACTGAATGACTGAATGCTGTGCCAAGTGTATGACTAAATTATGCATTATTTGTATTATTAAATTTGTCGGTTGTTATACAAACAGTACAAGCACACAGTGTTAGTTACTTAATATTTATTCTACATAATTATTTCATTACCCGCAAAAAAGGAAGTTGACGACATCGTCTGTCGATTTTGTCATGCGTGGCTTGGATTTTAAAACAAATTTTGAAGACGACTTCACCTTCATGGTTGACAAAGTACTCGAAATATTCATAGGAACTAAACAAATTTGCGTCTCATTCACGATTTCATAAGCTTAATTTCTATATTTTTTTTTAGGAATTTTTAGACTTATTTTTATAGAGCGCAAGCTACTTTTTAAATTAATTTGCGAATCACTTTTTATAGCATTGATTTGATGTATGTACTTTCCAGCACTAATAAGTTAATCTTCTAACTGGTTAAAATGACCTTTGTAAGCGTCTTATTACAAGTTATAATTAGCTAACTGTTAGATGAAGTCTAATTATTCCCCCATCCATTTTAATTATGGATGAGATGCGGCATTCCAGAAATACATTGATACTTCCCTGGCGCCCCTCTATTAGCATTTTAATCAAACAATGTATAAGAATAGGTAATTTTCAACCTAGTATTAAAACAAAATCAACATTTTTTAAGTTAAAAAAATCTTTGTAATTTTCAAAGTTTAATTCATTTCCTTGCCTAGGCAAGATTAAGAAGCGATCTATCTTACGGCTTCCTATTCATATCCCAGCTGCTCTTCGGTTGCACTCGAGACTTGAGTGATTGCAACAGAAACTGGCAATAAAATTTGCATTTATTTTGCCCGCGATGTTTTGTTTTACGAGTGTGTTTATGCCAAAGCGCCGCAGATCGCTCCCGGCTGATAAAATCAACGGATTGATAAACATTTTTAACTGGCCGTGTCGTGTCTTTGCTCGTCCACGATTTCCCAACGCCAATTTGCATGTTTAATCAGCTGTGGCCAAGTTTAACCCATTGTTCGGAAGAAATACTATACAATACAGCGGCAAAACAAAGCCGCAGCATCGCACGATTGGTTTGGGTGGGCGTTTTGTGTGAGATGGGGAATTTTACCTATCTATCTATCTATTTATCTAACGACCAGAAATTCTTTCGCACGCTTGCTTCAAATCCCCTTTGATTTCTCGACTGCGCACTTTTGTCAATCATCGAAAGGAATCAAACAAACAACCAGAGAAGCACTCCAAAACTCATCCAATTGTAAGCCACTCCAAAAAATATTTCTGTTCATTGTGCAGACGTTGATTGAGTTTGAGAGCCCAACATGACAAAAAATGATTCTAAGCTGATTTTTTCGCTATTAAAAATGAGGGTACACACATAGGGTAGTAAAATGGTAAAAATGAAGTATTAATAAGTTTAAAAGATTTTTTGTAGAGTTTTTTACGTTAAAAAATGTTAAAAAATACTTTGAACAAATACATTTAGAATTTTTAACTTTAAAATATGTTATTATCTTAGGCTACAAAATTCGTTAAGAAGTATTTTTATTATCTACAGTATAAAAAGGTATTGTGGCATTTTTATTAATAAGTACATTTTATTTTCTTGGGCTACAAATCATTTATTGTAGACATCTTTTATTATACCCGTTACTCGTAGAGTAAAAGGGTATATTAGATTCGTGCAAAAGTATGTAACAGGTAGAAGGAAGCGTTTCCGACCCTATAAACTATATATATTCTTGATCGGGATCACTAGCCGAGTCGATCTAGCCATGTCCGTCTGTCCGTCTGTCCGTCTGTCCGTCTGTCCGTCTGTCCGTCTGTCTGTCCGTCTGTCTGTCTGTATGAACGCTGAGATCTCGGAAACTATAAAAGCTAGAAGATTGACATTTTGCATGCAGATTCTAGGAGTTCCTACGCAGCGCAAGTTTGTTTCAAAAGGGTGCCACGCCCCCTCTAACGCCCACAATCGCTAATGTACGATTTTAAAAATTTCAATATTTTGGAAAAGTAAAAATGCAGTTTTATTGTGTTTATCAATACCTATCGAAATGTAGAAGAAATTTTTTAAATCGGACCATTCGTTAAAAAGTTACGGCGGATCAAAGTTTTTCTCCATCTCCTTCGCACTCCCTTTAGCTGAGTAACGGGTATCTGATAGTCGGGGCACCCGACTATAGCGTTCTCTCTTGTTTTTTTTATTAATAAGTATCATTAAGTCGCAACACCTTCTTGTCTCCGTCTCCATCTCACTTCTTTGTAATCGTATTGCGCGCTTTGGCAGTTAAGTTTAGAACGCTGATGTTATAACAAATTAACAAGAAATATAATCATATAAAAACGAGCGCGAACGAGCGAGTCAATGGCATTTTTCTTATAATTAAACTGGGAGCGAACTTAATGAGCAAGTCGCGTCGGCAGGCACACAAAAAAATATCTTCGAATTATAGCCAAATTACAAAGAACATATAATTTAAAAAATGGTTATCATGGCTGCCCTGTTCTTTGTGATCATCAGTTTGGCATTAGCACCGATCATCATCATGCAAATTTTTTCTTTCTTTTGCGGCTTTTCTTACATGGCATCCTGCTTGCCTCAATTAATCATGGAAACTGCCAATGGCCGAAAAAAGAAGTTAAGGCTTAGTTTTTTTTCTAGCCAACGTGCGTTGAACTTTCGCCAATCCTCTTTGGCTAAAGACTAGAAAGGTTCTTGGGCAAAGTAAAAATAGAAATGCTATGCGCATGGCTTTGTCTCGTTTGCCACACTCTATAATTCATCAGCATAACAAAAAAAAGAATGATAACTAAAGGCGAGGGTCAAAATGTGGACTCATCATCCGCTCTGTAAAAACTTTTGGGTTTATTTCTTTAAGCAACCAACTAAAAATTACGCAAAGCAAAAGCCGCACCCAGGCATGAAGGCTTCTTGTCTTTTGAGCTCGAGTTTTGAGCTCGACAGTTTATGCCGCATACCAAATCGAGTGAAATTGTCAACGTAATTTTGCGCAAGCCGTCGCCAAAAAGGCCTCTCGAACACTATTTTTTTAATTGATTCCTCGCCAGGCAATGACACACATAGCCATAAAAATTCATACATAGTTGCTTATGTTTTTAATGGCTAACAAACGACGAGGCAGGCGCACAAACGAAACTGACAACAGGGCGTATGCGCGATGCGGCTTTGCCTTTGGCTTTGGGCTTTGGGATTTTTATTGAGCCGCTGATCGGTTTGCCCGACCTCAGTTATCACTCTTACTTACCGCGAATTATAATTGATGTTTGCCCACTGCGATGGCCAAGTCGGCTGTGTATATCTTTATTATACCCTTGCAGAGGGTATTATAATTTTGGTCAGAAGTTTGTAACGCAGTGAAGGAGACGTTTCCGACCCCATAAAGTATATATATTCTTGATCAGGATCAATAGGGGAGTCGATATAGCCATGTCCGTCTGTCCGTCTGTCCGTCTGTCCGTCTGTCCGTCTGTCCGTCTGTATGTCTGTTTCAATACCGTTTGCGAGCTCAGTTTAAAAGCTAGCGCCTTGAAACTTTCACAGTCGTCCTAAAACATGTGTACGCAGATCAAGTTTGAAAGCCGACCCGATCGGACGTCTATATCCTATAGCTCCCATAGGAACAATCGGATATAGCTTTCACAAAAATGAAGATATTTCGCTCAGTGTAAGAGCTATTGGCATGAATCTTTCTAAATCGTATTTTTTTGTGCGTACCTTGATCAGGGTAAAAGCGCGTGCCGATCGGACGTCTATATCTTATAGCTCCCATAGGAACAATAGGGTGAAATCGGTCAAAATTTGACGTTTTTCAGGATATTTCGCGCAAAATATTAGCTATTCCCATGAAACTTTCCAAATCGTATTTTTTTGTGCGTACCTTCATTAGGGTAAACGCGCGTGCCGATCGGGCGTCTATATCCTATAGCTCCCATAGGAACAATAGGGTGAAAAATTTTAAAATTTTATATTTTCAATTATAAAATATTTTGTTGTTTATTAATTCATGTTGCTAGTCTAGTCAAGTTTTAATTCGTAAAATCTGCAAGGGTATTAAAACTTCGGCTTGCCGAAGTTAGCTTCCGTCCTCGTTTTTTTCTGATCTGCTATAGGGGTCTACAATCTGATGAGGGACCTTAGTTTCTTAGCCTGGTGTCCCACGTTTTTTTTGGGGCTAGCTGTTTCTAAACTGCAAAAAATATGGCTTGAATGTCGCACTTGACAGTGGAAATAATTTAGATATTTTATTGGCTTGGCAAGGGTAAGAAAAGACATTAATGAGTCTGCCGAGATACCCAAATTTATGACTGACTCACTCAAAATTTGGCCATAGGAAAAAATATTTTTGACACCGAATTAAAAATTATTTTTTTAAAAAATGAGGCAATTTTGCATAAATGGTTTTTGATTACTATTTTTGATAGCTAATGAAAATTGTATTGAATATTTATCCATGTATCAACACTTAATATTGGCACTACCTAAGTGCTATTAATTGATCACACAAACTCTTTTTTTTAACACTGCACAATTTGCCCCAAATACAGACCCTATTATTACAACGAAACGCACTGTGCACTTAGCTAAAAACCCGTTCAGTTCCACACTTGTAGTGCATTTTCTCTCTTCTCTCAATGATTTTCGCCGACTGTGATTTTCCATGACTATTTGTGTGTACCAATCAACAACATTTCACTAATGCACTCCGATCTCTCTTCCGACATTTGCAGCAAAAGGCAGGCCTACGATTTCCCAAAGCAGCAGCACAGATAAGTCGACAGCACGACTTGAATTATTGCACGCAACAGCAGCAGCAACATCTACAGCAGCAACATCCACAGCAGCAGCATCTACGGCGGGCAGAGAAAGGGGAGCCAAAGTAACCAAACAGAAGACGCAGCTTCATTCTACAAAACAATTGTGGAAAAGTGGGAAAACTCGTGTGTGTGCCAGTGTCTGTGTGTGCGAAAAGCGAACAATAGAAAAAACCAGATAGAAAATCAGCAGAGAAAACAATCAGCCAAAGCAGCAACATAGAGCAGCAGCAACTATAATTTTAGATCTTTTTTTATTTGGTATATGCTTCGGTTACGATGTCGTTGATGAAAATCCATCGAGGCAATGAATCATTTTGCTACAGTTGGTTGTTGTTGCTCGTGGCATTGTTGTCGGCGGAGGCAGCAGCAGCAGCAACATTGAGTGAAACGCAGACGAATGCAACTAATGGTGCAATTAGAGAGCCGCCTTTGCAACTGCAACATCAGCAGCAGCAACTTCAGTTGAATGCGACCGCCGGCGACGGCGAAAGCCGAAATTCAGCGGAAATTTTCAGCCCCAGCGATGTGGGTAAGTTTTCTAGCATTTATTACCCCCCGTAAAAAACACACACGAAACACAGAAAAAATTGCCAACTAGCCAAAATAAATCTATGCCAATTATTGACCAACTGGCGGCAGCAGACGAAACAACAATCGCCGCTGCAACATTCGAGTCGAAACTGAAAAACTGGCTGGCTAAAACAATTGGCCCGGCCAAACACAACGAATGTGGCCGAAGAAGCGGCTTTAACTGCAGGCCACTTTGGCCTGGCATTGGCCAATCTTTTGCATTTTGAAAGCCAGAAGTGCTTGTCAACGTTAGTTGAGGTTGTTATGAGACAGAAAGGAGAATTGGTTTTATGTGCCCGCTTCCTTGCATTCAATTTTATGTCTTCGCTTTCAGCGGACACCACCATCAGTTTTGGCCACATAAAAAGAGGGGCTTAAACATTTTATTTCAATCATTGGGGCTTTTAATGGGGCACTTAACGTTTTTGGTGAATTCTTTTTATTTCAAGCGACTGTTACTAAAACGATTTTAAGTGGGAGCGCCCCTAATACATTGATATAAATACATTTTTATTGAAACATTTTATAATATTTTCTAAAATTTGAATAAAATTAAATAAAATTTGTTCTTAATTATTTTATTTTAATTTTTTTTATTTTTTATTAGCATTAATTGGAAAAGTAAATGGTTTTAAAAAAGTAAAAGCTATATTTAAAAACATTAATTTGTATTGAACAAATTTAAAAAAAAGAACATTTATCCCAAATAAATGTAATGGCATTTTCTATTCAATTTTCATTTTTTTTTATTGGAAAGAAATAGCATAGGAAATTGATTTCCTTTCCTCAATACTAGTTTCTTTATTGTACAATTGCTAGACGTTCACGCTTTACCTATTTCCCTATGAATATTATTAAAATGAAAGTGAAAGAAACGTTTAACTTTTTTGTCCATTGAAATACATTACTATTTCAGCTAAAATATTTCCAAGAAAAATATTAATTAAGTGCTTCAAATTAGTTAATTAATTTTAGAAAGGTCCCCAGCAGAAGTGTGACCCCTTTGTGGCCACTCAGGTTTATTAACACAAGATGCCACATTAGAGATAAGCCCACAAAATGCGAGACCCTATTGAGTTGCAACCGTCGAAACAAAATATGAAACGGTTCTGCAAGGGCAAATGTCGAGGTGAAGATAGCCTAACGCTGATTTAGCCTTTCATAAACGCTTTTTAACCATTAAACGCTGCAAGTGCTCGACGGCCAATGGATTGATTAGACCGGCTCTTTTGTCCATGGCTGCCTCTCTCGGACACTCATAAATGTAAACAGTAATTGTTATTTCAATTAAGTATTTTCATAAACAATTAAGTTTGGACTTCGCTGGTTTCTCAAAATGCTACACTGCGTGGGTGTTTCAAATCGAAATGGAAATAGTGCTTTGCATTTAAATGTTAAATAAATTCAATGGAAGACATAAGTGTGTTTTTTATTGGAACAAAGTGTTAGGCCTAGGAATCCAAAAAACACTCAAGCTAAAATGTTGTCCACATCTTTATTCATGAACTTTTTGTTTGGCCTAAGTCTACATTTTTACTACGTTTTTTTATGGCGGCCCAGAGGTAACTAAACAAATGTTAATGCATTTTGATTATGCTTAATTTATGCCCGATGAATGGGCATAATTTTCGGTTTTTTTACCTCTTACGAAATGCAATTTTTCGAGTTGAACTGGCCAGTTGTAGGTGTCGTTTGCTGGCCACTTGAACACTCGAGATACTTGGCCAAAAAATATCAATATTGGTGTGGCTCGGTTTGGGTTTAAAAAAATTTGTTGTGTGCTCATTACGTTTACCTGTTTCTTTTTTTATTTTCCTTATTTTTTCGGGCTGCTCTGAGACCTCATGTGCGTCGGTATTGCGTAATACCACCACTCGTTTAGCAGGCGTAGTGAAGCTTTAAGTTTCGAAGAAGAGGAGCCGAGCCGAAAGAGCAAATCTGAAAAGTCAACAGAGAGTCAGCCAAGCAACCAACCAGTCAGTCAGCCAAGTGCATTTGCAGATGCAGCAGGGGAAACCCGGGCGTATACGCAATATGAGGGCGTGCATCAATGTGGGAAAAAAAGGGGTAACAAAAGAAAGAAACATTGTTGCTTGGAAGAGGTAAAAAGCCCCTGCAACTGTTCAAATATTAAGCCCTTTCACGTTGCCTACTACCGTATTACGTACTCTGATTCGGATTTTGGCTTTACTTTGCTTTGCTTTGCTCTCAATATGTAATAACAAATATTCAATCAAAACATTTGCTCTGTTCATTATTCCCCGGGTTCGAGTCGAGACTCACATGTGTAAACAGCCCAGCGAACACACAGATATCGATTCCATTATAATAGATCTTCGTCACGGAACTAATCGATCGATGGTTGTGTTCAGGTTCAGTTGAGCCGGATGGCAAGGCCAAGAATTATTTACATATAATTATGTAAGGTTTTCAGCCGAAGAAAAACGTTACAGAAAAATAAATACGAAAGATAACTAATAAAACAAACAAAGAATGGGAATGTTAAATGATAATTTCTGTGACTTTTGAAGTCATTAGATTTTGGTATTGAGATATAAGAATATGGTTTAGTTGTAAAAAATTTTAATTTTAATATATTAATATATTAAAAACCTTGAAATTCTTGAAATAAATCTTATTATATTATTTTTAATTATCTTAAAATTGGTTGTATAAAACACATTGAATACTAAAACTAAAAATTATTTAAATTAAATTCGTATGTTTATCTATTTTCTAGACATTTACAATTTTATCCGAGTGAATCCCCTGAAATGACTAAGCTAATCTAATCTGCTCGTTTTTTGAATTTTTTGTTAAAATTGCTTGCTAAAAATAATTGCTGAAGCCGAATTGAAATGCAAATATATTCAAATCATGTTTTACCTGCAATAACCCAAAAAATGATTTAAATTGTTAGGCAAAATTGTTTTGTTTTCTATTTCCTGGATATTTACATTAATTTCGCATGGTTTTTGCCTTTCAATTGCATTTAATTTGAAGACCCAAATTCGCATTCCCAGTTGGTAACTTTGTGGTTGGCGGTTGTTTATTTTTTGTACAGCTTTTTTTTTGCTAGGAAAAGGAAATAAAATGCGCAATTTGTGTTTCGGTGGCCACCGTTGAATTTCGATTTAGTGTGTTTTTGCCAGATTTTTTTTATATAAAATGTTTATAATTTCTTTTTTATTAGCTTTCGTTGCGAAAAACTGTGGCCAGTGGGGGAAGTTTAATGAACCCTTTCTTGACGTACCAGGTCCATAATTTTGTTAATTTCCTTGGCTGTTGTCTTTCGCTTTCTTATGTTTTTGTGTTTTTTCGTGTGCGTGATTAATAATAAAACCGCTGGTGACCCAAAACTTCGGGGGAAAAGGGTTACGCAACTATGCGATGATTTACTGGCGACTTAATTAAAATCCGTGGGACAAAAGAAAGCGGCCAAATGGCTAATGATGGGGGTGGTGCAAATGTTGTAGTAGTTTCAAGTTGCGTAAATACGACTTGGATGCGACTGATGACTGGATGATGAGCATGTGCCACGCCCCTGTGGCCATTTGCAACGCCTCAATGCACAGGTATTGAAAAGCTGAATTCGCTAAGCCAAACAAAAAAACGGAAGCCAAAAGAAATAAAAAATCCTAACAAATCATGAACAACAAAACTTTGTAATTATCCAATGTTGCAGGTCGTATTGTTGGCCATTTAAAACATATGGGGCTCCCTTTTCAAATGGGAACCTAAAGTGGAAATCGCTCGCTGAGCCGGTAATTGCGCAATTAAAAGGTCAGGCTATTTTTTATTTTTTATTCGGGGTGTCGGCAGTCTGTCAAGGCAGTTAAGGCGGCAGCCAAGGGTTAAAGCCCAAGACCCAAAACCAGGAAGCCAAAACTAAAACCCAAGCCAAAACGATTCATTTAGCGGCATTTCACGACAACTTCAGCTTAACTTTTTCAGCTCCATTTCCGCATTGACATCCGCGATGCTTTTTGGCTTGCATTTCTTCGCTTTTAGCCATCGGTGCGAGTACCTTTGCCATTTCTCTTGGCTCTCTCACGTCGTCGCTGGCAGCTGCACTTCCTGCATTCGACTGCATTTCGTGGCATTTTTCACTGCACCCACAAAAGTTGGCTGGCAGCGATGGCTCCTTCATTGGCCAAAGTGTCGAACCGGACAACTTTGAACTGGCTGCAGCGGGGAACTGGACTCGATGTGGATTTTATGAGTACATAAATGTGTATTATTAAGTCGGGATTATCAATTTTATACGATTTATGGTTTTAGTAGAGGTTTATGGTATTGCAAAAAATTAAGAAAATATTAGCAAATTTATATACCTTTATTTAGTTATTTATTAATCGCTAATGGAAAAATCCTTTTTTGGCTATTATAAATTAAAATAAATTTAATTTGCTAAAAAAATAGTCTCTTGGGGGTATATTTAAATTTTAGTTTCATTATTTCTTTATTAAAATGTATAAATGATTATTTATTAAAATCTTAAAATAACTTAAAACGAAATATTATACTGAAGTTTCATTTAAATTTTATAATAACTAATTGTATAAATTAAAACATAAATTAAGTATTATGTTTTTAGAAAAAATGCGACATATAATATTGCAATTTCCGATTTTTTTTATTTAAAATTTATTTATAAAAAATTTATATTAATTTATTTTGATTTAATGTTAATACAAACAAAACAAAAATACTTCAGTATTATATTTTTATTTATTTTGATATAAATATAATGCCAAACTTGCAAATTTAGTTTTTTTATTTTTACCCAACAAACTACTTAATTGGTATTTTCCCGTGGGCCTCCGAACGAAAACAGCTTTTCGTTGGGGATTTTCAAAGTCCACTATGGTGACTACACACCCTCGATAAAACGGAATTCCCCGTTATGGTTAAGGAGCTATGCGGCATTCGCTGCCTTTTCCCATTTCATTTTGCGTT